TCTTGTCCTGACCTCAGCAATGCATTCTGAAAGGGGCAAATGTTTCCATGATAAATGATGATTGCAGGGTGGGAAGAATTCTTTTACTTTTGTTATTTGAGAAGATAGAAAAGTAAACATTTCTAGATTATATATGCTGGTAGAGTGGGGAAGACTTTTTGAGAGATAGAAGGAGAAAGGGAATAGAAGAGAGAAAATGTAGGAGTTGAGAAAAAATAGATTGCAAAAAAATAACAAGGAAAGAGAACATAATTTACTGATGACTTGATCACCTATCATGTGCTTCCACAGTTATATACTTTACCATGTGGTCTCTTCCATACAATGAACATGGAAAGCAGACATTGTTACCATCATTTTATAGAAGAGGTGTCAGCCTCTGAGTCATACAGCTAGTAAATGACAGAGTTTTTCAGACCTGGGCTTGTATGATTCTAAAGCCGACTGAAATTGATGTAGCAAATAGTTTTGTGCATGGGAGATGCAGATGGAGAATCACTGTAGCATAATGATTAAGAGTATTTGTAGACTCTAGAGCCTGTTGGCCTGGGTTCAAATCCTACATCTTTCAAGGCTCTACCATCTGACAGCTGTGGTACCTTGGGGAAGTTGCTTGATCCCTGTGTACTTCATTCTACTCATCTGTAAAATCAGGCTAATTGTGTTACCTTCCTTTTAGAATTGTGAATTAATTTAGTTAATATATAGTAAAATGTGTAGAACAGTTCCTGACATATAGAAAGCAATATATAAAGTACTATATAAGTGTTTGCTGCTGCCATTATGATTATGATTATGATTATTAGTGTGTGTGTGTGTCGCCTGTGGAAGATCTGTCTCAGAAGTTTGAGGAAGATGTTTTAAAACTGTTAGCAGAACTGTTTCATCAGTGTGACCTGGTCAGACTTGTCTCAAAGTTTGCCTCTTAGAGTTCTTACTGTGTCAACATATCCTTCATCCCTGACCAAGCCCAATCCCAAAACACACACACACACACACACACACACACACACACACAGCCTCCCCTTTCTCTTTTTTCTTTCTAGAATTAAAAGCCAATTCAGACTTTCTCTTTAGTGTTATTATAGAAGAAAGGAAGAATAAAGATTCACTGAAGGTGATACATATATAAGGATCTAGAGGTCTAAGTTAAAATTTGCAATTCAAAGCAAAAAATTTAGAAAAGTTCCCGTTTCACATTTTCTTGTTCCAAAATGGTCTGCTTCCCAGCCTCCCTGTTTTGGGCCCATAGGATTTAACCAGATTGTTACATAATAATAAAGAGTTTGGGACATTTCTGATGATTATTTGCCTCTGTTGTGATATAACTTAATTGCCTTAACTTCCTTTTCCTAGGAAATTAGAACTTCTTTTTAAAAATCACTAACCCTTCTAACTTGCCCAGAATCCCTTACTTGGTTAAGGAGCATATATAAGCAGAGGAACAGCTACAGCTGTTACTTTGCAAAGAGCCTGAAGATTTGTCTTATTTTGAAACTAATGAAAGGTAAGGAGGGGCCCTTTTTAAAAATTCTATTTGGAGGCTTGAAGGGCAAAGATTTTTCTTAAATAATGGACTAACGGTTTTTTTGGTCTATTAATTTAATTAACTTAAATTGATTCTTTGTTCAGAACTCACCAAGGAAGTCTTAATAATTCAGCAAAGTATTATTTTTTTGGTGGTGGTGGTGGAATAGGAAGTTGCTTTATTCAGGAATACCAGTGACCTGAGGAGAGATGTTGGGCTAACCCATCTCTCTGGTAAACCAGGAGAATGGCCAGGCTAAGACTATCACAAAGACTCAGATTTACTGAGGGGTTTTTAAAAAGGAGGTTGAGGGAATAGAATGTGGGAAATAAAAAGAAGAGGAGGGGAGACATGTAAGGGGGCAGGTGCAGATTCTCACCAAGGCTCCTTCTGACTTCTGTTTTTGTCCTTGATGTTATCTTAGAGACCTGCTTCAGGGTTGAATCAACATAGCTTTTTTTATTTTTAATTTTCTAAATTTTTTATTATGAATATTCATGAGATACAAAGCTGATTTTCACCCCTTGTGCCCGTGATGTGAGGGCCAGATTCATACTGGCAGCATACCCATTACCAGAAGTTGCTTTTGTACCCCATGTCCCCCACCCAATTATCCCCAACCTCCCTCCCCTCCCTGTTTCTCCTGAACTCCACTTTGTAGCCCAAGGAATGTTCTCTCCCTCTGCAAGAACAATGCACAACTGTGGTCTTTCTTTCCTTCCTTCTTTCTCTCTTAGCTCCCACTTATGAGTGAGTACATGTGGTATTTATCCCTCTGTGCTTTGCTTATTTCACTCAAAATAAGTTTCTCCAGGCACATCCATGTTGTTGCAAATGGGAGTATTTCATTCTTTTTTATGGCAGAGTAGTATTCCATGGTGTACATATATCACAGTTTCCTTATCCAATCATCCATCGAAGGATGTTTAGGTTGGTTCCACGTCTTGGCTATTGTAAACAGAGCTGCGATGAACATGGGAGTGCAGGTAATCCCTTCAACATGGTGATTTCCATTCCTCTGGATATATACCCAGAAGTGGGATTGCTGGATCATATGGAAGATCTATCTGTAGCTGTTTGAGAAACTTCCATACCATTTTCCACAGTGGTACTAATTTACAGTCCTACCAACAGTGTAGGAGTGTTCCCTTCTCTCCACGCCCTCACCAGCATTTGTTATTCACCATCTTTTTGATTATAGCCAGTCTAACTGGGGTGAGGGGGTATCTCAGTGTAGTTTTAATTTGCATTTCCCTGATGACTGGTGATGTTGAACATTTTTTCATATACCTGTTGGCCATTTGTATGTCTTCCTTTGAAAAATGTCTATTCAGCTCCTTTGCCCATTTTTTAAATTGTGTTATTTGGTTTTTTACTGTATAATTGCTTGAGTTCTATGTATATTCTGGATATTAATCTCTTGTCAGATGCATAATTCATAAAAATTTTCTCCCACTCTGTAGGTTGTCATTTCACTTTGTTGATTGTTTCTTTTGCTGTGCAGAAGCTTTTTAGTTTGATATAGTCCCATTTGTTTATTTTTTCTTTTGCCGCTTGTACTTTCAGGCTCATGTTCATAAAGCCTGTGCCCAGACCAAGTTGCTAAAGTGTTTCACCTATACTTTCCCTTAGTAATTTTACAGTTTCAGGTCTTATACTTAAGTCTTTAATCCATTTTGAGTTGATTTTAGTGTATGGTGAGAGATGCATATCTAGTTTCATTCTTCTGCATACATATTCAGTTTTCTGAGCACCACTTGTTGAAGAGGCAGTGTTTTCTCCAATGTAGATTTTTGTTGCCTTTGTCCAATATCAGATGGCTGTAAGCCTGAGGGGTGATTTCTGGGTTGTTCTACTCCACTGGTCTGAATGTCTGTTTTTATACCAGTACCATGCTGTTTTAGTTACAATAGCTTCGTAGTATAATTTGAAGTCAGGTAGTGTTATGCCTCCGGCTTTATTTATTTATTTATTTATTTATTTATTTATTTATTGCTCAGGATTGCTTTGGCTATTCTGGGTCTTTTGTTGTTCCATATGAAAGGTAAGATTGTTGTTTCCATTTCTGTGAAGAATGTCATTGGTATTTTGATGGGGATTGCAGTGAATCTGTAAATCGCTTTGGGTAGTATAGACATTTTCACAATGTTAATTCTTCCAATCCAAGAGCATGGAATATCTTTCATCTTTTTGTGTCTTCTTTAATTTCTTTCAGAAGTAGTTTGTAGTTCTCTTGTAGAGGTCTTTCACCTCCTTAGTTAAATTGATCCCTAGCTAGTTTATTTTTTTTCATGACAATTGTAAATGGGCTTACTTACTTTAGTTCTCTTTCTGTTAATTCATTATTTGAGTATATAAATGCAACTGATTTGAGGGTATTTATTTTGTATACTGCAATGTTAATGAAGTTATTAACTAGCTCTAGGAGTTTTTTGGTAGAGTCTTGAGGTTTTTCTATATATAGTGTCATGTCATCTTCAAATAGAGAAAGTTTGACTTCATCTTTTCCAATCTGGATTCCCTTTATTTCTTTCTCTTGCCTGATTGCTCTGGCTACTACCTCAGCAAAGTACTATAATACTAATTTTTAATTTTTTTACCACATTCAAGAAATATATTTGCATATTATTTATGTATGCCATAACATAATCTATTTGATTAGTGCTCATGAGCATTATTCTAAATATTAACTTATTGTAATATATTTCCCATGGTTTTCTTTTTTTCTAATGATGCCCTTAGTTCTTGTATGACAACCATTTGCAATACTTTAAAAAGAGAATGTATTCCTGGAAAGTATTTCTAGCCTCAGTTATAGCAGAAATTATAAAAGTTCAATCCTCATAGCAAAAAAAAATATGACATTCTAAGTTAAAGCCTTATTGTTGCCTAGAATGATAATGCTTTCCACAAGTAATAGGAAATGGCAAGATTTTTGCTGATGGCATTCACTTCCGTTTACTAATCGAATAAATTTTTTGGTCATTTGGATTTGGTTTAATGGTTTCATTCTCTGAACTTCTTCTCTGCCTGTGAAAACAAGTCATTTTTTACCATTCTCCCTCACCACCATCATCACCAAATAATGTCACTTCATCTGAGCCATACAATTTATATTTCAGTTGCTGTCAACTGCCACAAAGCAGTTTAAAACTTATGGGTTCATCTTGTTATCAGAGCAAATAATTAAGATTGTGAGGTAGGATATAGAGAGTGGGAAGACCCAGAGAGAGGAAGGAGCCAGATCATCAAACTTCACAATTAGAGATCGCCACTCTCTAAAACCAGCCATGGATTTCTCTAGTTGTTTCCTGAGCTCATTGCTTCCTCGCATTTACTCTTCCCTATTTCTTGTCAATAAATCCCATTAACCAGTTTTAGAAATTTGGGCATACCTGTAGCAATTTTCTAACTTGATCTGACTGATCCTGTGAGGGTATATTAATCCCTTTGTTTCTTTCCTTGTTGTCAGAGGTCTTGTACACGACAGCCGGAATAACCTCCAGTTGAGGGGCTTGGTGGTGCTCCTTATTTCTAAAGCAGCTGGGCCCAGCAGTGTGAATACCTCACGACAGAACTATGACATGGTCAGTGGGATCTACTCATGGTAAGAAGAAATTTATTTTTTGATATTGCTCCCTAAATTGTATTTTCTTTTACTGGGGAGTGGTCAGTGGAAAGCAGTGTTTAGCTCTTTGTCATTCTCTAATTCAAAAATAGATTAAAATATAGTGTAAGATTTCAAAAATGGATTTTTATTGTTCCTAACAAGTCTAATAGTCTTGGTGAGCTTCATGCATAACTCTGGTAAATTTCCCCACACAATGATCCTTCCTTCATTAATAAGCAGGCAGAGAAGATTACTGTCATAGCTATAAATGACCGCTCTTCTAGCCAGTATAATTTTGTAGCCCTTTTACTATTTATCCATACAAGTATCTTTACTAGAAGGGATATCATGAGATCATTTTCAGTTTCTACTCACTCTGAAATTGTTTATATTTTTTAGTGCCTTTAGGATACTAATTTTTTTTATGACAGTGATCTCACATGATAATGCTGTAGATAAGAGTTATTATACTTACTTTACTCTTGAGAAAACTGAGACTTAAATATCTTGAGACTTTTTAAAGTGACACAGCTGGCAAATGGGAAAAGTTGAGGCTCTAACTGTAGTTCTCTTCTTCCTTCCAAATCTGTTTTTTTCTTGATTCCATTCCATCTTTCAGTCTGTTTCAAAGAATTTATTTCACTTTTAGATGAGATTAGCCATTAAATTAGTATGCAAAAAAAGGTCTTCTTGTAAGTATGTCTTAAAAAACTCCTAAATGAAGCAACTTGGAAAATCTTTAATATATGTACATCTTACCCCAAAACCTGTTTGAATTAGAGCTCGAAACTTTACCTTCTAAGTTTTGTAGAAAACTCTTGGCTTTGTTTAGTTGAGATAACTAAAGAAAATACATAAAAAATCTAGAATGAGTACTAATAACCTGTTAATCCCGAGAAAGCAAATGGATGTCACATCACCTTATATCCCATGTGTCTGTGTTTCCTGTTAGAAATTCCATTGATTTTGAGTCTGCTGACTTTGATCCCATCTTATTGGTCAATCATCTGCTTGGACATTTGGGTAACCACACATACATCTTATGAATACCAGCTATGTTTTATTATATCTAATCCTAAATAACCCTTGGAAAGTACTGCTTGACACATAATAGGTGTTCAGTAAATATTTGTTGAATGAGTGAATCATCCCCATTTTACAGAAGAGGTAACCGATACTGAGGTTAAAATTTGTCTGAAATCTTCTAGGTAGAATGTGATAGAGTTGGGACTGAAATCCTATTTTTACTCTAAAGAGTATACTTTTTCTACTATGCAGGAGCTATTATCTATATGTACATGGTATGCTGTGATGTAACCTCGTGTTTCTAATTTCTTATCTAGCCTCTACAAAATGATTGCATTGCTTCTGATCCTTCACATAATGTATTTGGTAGATGGTCATTGTAATCTGAGCAATCTGAGTAAAAGAACTTTGCAAAAGAGCAGGTGTACATTATAAACATAAAAACTTTCCAAATAACATAAACGGATTTTATACTCAGTGTACAGAATCCACAATTACATTTAGGGAATAATCCTGGCCTGTAGTTTCAGGCTGTTTTTTATAATCAAACTTGATGTAGTAAGTCATTGGTATGTTTGGGTGTTTTACACACTTGTTAATGTGAAAAAGTAATTTGGTATAGCACTAGGAGAAACCATTAATTTGTTTCTCTACTCCTGAAGTCATTTGTTTGGCTCCTGTTTCCTTAATTGTTCAAGTGTAGCTTTTGCTGGAGGCTTGTATCTATAATGCTGCAGTGAATTATTTAACATTTGAGGGAAGAACTGATTTGGGAGCTTTTTAATTCCAACTACTGGGATTTACATTCTTGGTGTTTCTCTCCTCATAAGCTTGACTTTGATGTCAAATAATGGGACATGAGTAAATTACCTAAGAAACCAAAAGTGAATTAGGTTATCTCTTTTGTTTGGCTAAAGGACATAACAGGTGCTTGTGCATATGTCTTAACTTATCCATAATGGCCAAGAGAGGCAGAATTTAGGCTAAAATGTAATAACTATATTTTGAAAAACAAGTAAGAGAGCCACATTTATAAAAATTTATAAAAATGCACATCCACCATAGCATTTGCCAACAATACCATGAGCTTTTAGGTTTATTCCACCAACTCTGACATAAAAAAATTGGTTTCAAAGCCAGTCATACAAGTATTACTAAATTTACCTTTATCCATAGGCACAATTCAGAAAATATTTACAACTCCCCATTTCTATTAATGATAGATACTTTTATTTTGTGTGCAAAAGATAGATCATCACAATATATAATACATAAAATTTACATATATTCAATATATGATACATAAAAAGTATAGACTTTTCTAATGTTACATGATTATTAAGTTTAAAGAAATTCAGGTGAATTTTCTGACTATTGATTCAGCTTTCTCGGTTGTTTTATCACTAACTGACTTGATTTTTTCTCATTTAACTAGCAGTTAAAAACAGACCACAAACTGAGGATAGTTTTACTCCACCTTAATTCCCTAAAATTTCCCAACACCTTAACTGTGATAGAAGACTGATGCAAGTATGCCAAACATATTTTCTTTTCTTCCTGAATACCTAGCTAACTAATCTATGTTTTCCAGCTTTCTTTGTGGTTGGCTGGGCCACGTAACTAAGATCTGGCCAATAGAGTGTGAGCAGAAGGGATATTCACTATTTCCCGACCATAAAAACTTTGCATTCCTAATATTCCTTAAGCAGATGACCTTGGTAATGACCCATTCAAAATGAAAGACAGCTATATCACTGAGTCACTGTCAGAGGAGAACCACCTGCCCTTCTGGAACATCCATACAGACGGACTGTTTGTTAGGCCACTTAAATTTTAGTGTTTATTTGTTAACAGCAGCAAATGTTACCTTACTATACCTTTACTGTTTATGTTACCACTATCACCATTCTGTACCCAGTTACCCCAGTGAATTTGGTAATCTTTGATTATTTCCTCCCTTTTGCTTTCCCTGCACAATAAGACACCAACTCACGAGTTTCTCTGGACTCCTTTTCTTTCAGTCCATTTCCATCTCCTATTTCATGCCCTTGTTACTTTATGTCCAGACTTTAGCAATAGCTATCTGGCCTCCTGGTCTCCAGATGCTCCTTCTTCAAGTTTTTCCTCTTAGATCTTGGTAAATTGAACACTCCAAAGTCCTGCTTTAATCACTCATTAAATTATTATTTATAAAGCACTTACTGTGCGTGGTGCCAGGTACTGTGCGTGGTGCAGGAGATACAAGCTGAAAGATGCATAGTATTTGCCCTCAGTGACCTTAGCATCAAGCCAGGAAGTATGTAAGTTTACAAACAACTATACTACAGTGCTATAGATGCCGTAAATAGATCGTAGAGTTTTGTGAAGGAGTTACGGATGAGAGGAGGAAAGGAGAAAATTTCAGATAAAGGGACCATTTGGACCTTACTAAATAGGGAACTTATAACTGAGCTTTGAAGGTAACTAGGAGGTCATCAGTTGCAGGAAATTAGGTGGGTGAGAGGCATGGTAAAAGTGCTTGTATCCTAAGCAGAGGAAGTAAGGAACTGGCTGACCAAGAACATGGGATATGGAAGTTCCTGGCAGGGTCCGGAATAGTGCCAACTATTACAATGTACCTATTATTGTAATAGTACATTCTTGTTACATGAATGTATAAATTTATAGAACAGAGACTAGCTTCATTATGTATATAGGTGTTATGAATTGAATTGTGTCCTCCCAAAATTCTTATGTTGAAGTCCTAACCCCCAGTACCTCACATTGTGACCTTAGTTGGAGATTGTGTCTTTACAGAGGTAATCAAGTTAAAATGAGATCATCAGAATGGGCCCTAATCCAATGTGAGAGTATTTCAAAATGTTTATGGAAAAATGGAATTAAAAGATAATACAAATCCTTCCATGAATGTATTAAAGATTCCTCATACAATTAGTGTTTTTTTAAAAAGGGTAAAGTTGGACATAGACACACATACATAGGGGGAATGCCTTGTGAACTGAAGAGGCCATCTACAAGCCAAGGAGAGAGGCCTGGAACAGATTCTTCCCTCAAAGCCCTAGCAAACTCATGTAGTAGGGAATTGAGATGAGGAGATGAGGTGGAAAAGCAAGGGTGAGGTCCGATTGTGAAGTACCTAAGGAATTAGGGCTATATTGTGGACAAATAGTAGAGAGCCATCCAAGCGGCAGCAGAATGGACTTGGAATCTGAAAACAGACTGCACCACCTTCTAGCTGTGCCTCAGTACCTACTTCAGAGAATGGTTTTAAGAATTAAATGAGTAAATAGAATAATGCACAGCATAGTGAGCATTCTGTGTTTGCTCTTATTCTCAGCTATTATCATGAAGGTCTTTAAGCAAGGGGGTCATGTTAATATATCTGTGTTACGGAACATAGTTAGTTGATGTGTAGAAGATGGCCCTGAGAAGTGAGATCCAAGAGATGAGAATCAGCCAGAGTTACACAGACCTTTAGGTCCTCTGATTTCATGCCTTATTCCTGCCAACATTTCCCAATTTCTGTTCCAGGGCTAAAGGTGTAACTAGGTTTTCAGTGGGAGAAAATGTCCTATGTTCAAATAAGCGGGGCATGCCAGGTTAAAAGAAGTAAAAAGATTAACAGAATTAAAAAGATTTCTTCATTTCAGAATTCTCAGGAGTTGTTATGTACATATGGTGTGCATCATGAATCTCTAAGAACAGATACTGTTTCCCAATTATTTGACTACAGAACCCTTTCACCCCTGTCAGCAGTACATCTTGAGGAATGCTGCAAAAGTTTGGTAAACATTATTCTATTTCAGAACGCCTAACTACGAACCCTAACAGGAACTCTGTGAGGCAGAAATAACAGTTTCACCAGTGAGAAAACTAAGGCTTAGAAAGGTGAAGTGACTTTCTGAGGTCCCACATTAAGTGATCAAGTAGGGGAAGACATACATCGGGTATAAATTACCTGAGTTCAAATG